TTATCTTTGACTTTGATAGTTTAATTATAATGTGACTTAGTATAGGCTTCTTTGTGTTCAGTCTATTTGGGATACTACAGGCTTACAGACTCTGGATGTCTTTTTATGTCCTCAGATTTGGGGTGTTTACAGTTATTTTTTCTTTACCATAAGCTCTCTGTCCCTGTCTTGCTTTTCCTTCTAGGACTCCACATTGTGCCCAGAAGGATCAGCCTAAGATGCAAATCTGATCATGTCAGACCTTTGCTTGAAACTCCTAGGCACCTCCTCTTCCCCTACAGGAGAAAGTCCTAACTCCCCAGAATGCCCCAAAAGACCAACCACAGGTCCAGCGCTGCCTCCCTCCCCATCTGCAGCACCTGCCCCTTCCTGCTCTAGCAATACTGCACTGCTGGTCACTCCCCATCGCTGGGCTCTTTCTCATTTCTGTGCCTTTGTTTATGCAGCCCCTTCTGCCTGGGGTGCTTCCCAATTCCCCTTCCTCGGGCAAACTGCCACTCATCCATTCCAGTGGTGTGCTGTAAATGTTTAACAGCTGGATCTCCAGAGCAAAAAAAGCCCTGATCTGGATCATGTGCCGATTTCTGTGGTGTAAACACTCCCACGATATCCAATTTCAAACTCTCAGCAACATCGCTACACGGAAGTTGGGAGGAGATTGCACAATTGGTGAGCCAGCTCCAGCTCACCACTGACCTCAGATCACCCGCAGGAAGTCTGGCCCCAGCCTCCCCCTGGGCTTTCAGAGCAGTGTGGGCATTCTCCCTGCCCTGCACTTCCTACCTTGTTTGGTAATTTTCTTTCATGTGACTCTCTCTCTGACCACTAGAGGGTGCACTCCGGAAGGCAGAATATTTACTGCATTTTATGCAATAGTCACTTGCTGAATAAAAGAATGTACCCCTTCTCTGGACCCATACCTGTTCTGGTTCGCATTCTGTCAGTGACTCCCAAGAGCTCTCAAAGCACATGCACAGATAATAGGACGCTGCAAGGACAATGATTTAGATAGATTTCAAGTGAAGTCTGAGGAAGAACGGGGCAGATTACTTCAACGCGCCTCATCCAATGAGTTGAAAATTTAAAGGGAAAGTATGTCTTTCACTCAGACTTTCTATAAACCACTATAAGTCCCTGGCTGGTTTGGCTCAGTGGATAGAGCATCGGCCTGCGGACTGAAGGGTCCCAGATTCAATTCCGTCAAGGGCACAAGCCCGGGTTTCGTCTCAATCTCCAGTAGGGGGCGTGAAGGAGGCAGCCGATCAATGATTCTCTCATCATTGATGTTTCTCTCTCTCTCTCCCTCTCCCTTTCTCTCTTAAATCAATAAAAAATAAAAACAAACAAACAACAACAAAAACACTATAAGCACAGGTCTCTCCCTTTCTCTCTGAAATCAATAAAAAATAAAAACAAACAAAAAAACACTATAAGCACAGACTTGGCTACAACACAGGAGAAAAGACTGGGGGCTGCTGGACTCTGAATGGGATTACAGTGTTCAGAGAAGAGGAAGGAGAGGAAGGAGAAAGGGCAAAAAGGAGGGAGGGAAAGAGGAAGCAGGCAGCAAACCTTCCCCAGCGCCTTCATCCTAATTGGATCTTGGGGATCTCATCCCAGAAGAATACAAACTTTCTAAACTGAGTACAACTCACTTTCCAAACTTTAAATGAGTTTAGGGACTAAAATGGTCCCAAAGAACAGACTGGAGTTTAAATTATCATCTAAGGGCACTGTCCAGTCCTTTGGAGAATGTGCCTTTGAACACACAAGGCAGGCGGAGGGGAGGGACTGGCTGGACCCTTCACCTGTCACACATTCTGAACTCTCACCCTGGAGCTTCAGACCCAGTGTCACTATGTCTGACATGTGGCCTCTTCCCAGCCCTTAGGAAACAAATATTGTTACTCACCATTTTTCTGGTAAAGGTAAGCACAGGTTGGTTTGTTTGTCTGTTTGGTTTTTGTTAATCCTCACCTGAGGATATTTTTTTATTGATTTTTTTATTTTTTTATTTTTTAGAGAGAGTGGATGGTGCATGTGCCTCTAAGAGATATATTGATTTTTTAAAGGCCCTCAGAGAAGAATAGAGACTACTCTTGTTTATGTTCATGCTGAAGCCACACTGTTTCTGGATTTTAAAATGTATATATTTTTATTGATTTCAGAGAGGAAGGAAGAGGGAGTGAGAGATTGAAACATCAATGATGAGAGAGAATCATTGATTAGCTGCCTCCTGCTGACTCCTGCACGTCCTACACTGGGGATCTAGCCCGAAACCTGGGCATTTGCCCCGACCAGGAATTGAACCGCCACCTCCTGGTTCATGGGTCAATGCTCAATCACTGAGCCTCGCTGCCCAAGCTATTTCTGGATATTTTGAGGGCTTTCTGTGGAAGAGGGATTAAAGCTGCAAAGGAGCATATTTTAGCTCAGTATCAAAGGGGAACCACTTCCAAGTGAAAAGACCCTGGCCAGGAAGTTAATATAGCCCCCCCCCCCCCGCCATCACTCAGGGCATCAGGCCAGGCGGGAGGACTGTGAGGAGTACAGTAAGGGGCTTTCTGCTTTGGAAAGGGAGCAGATTGTGAAATAGACCCTAAGGCCTATTGTCAGTAGCATTAGAGTGATTATTACAGTCCATGACGACGATGATGGTGATGATGACAACATTGACAATGATGACAATGTAATTACTTATGTAATTAATAATGCTGATCACCACTTCTCCACTAGATTTTGAGGTTTTTGAGTTAGGGGTTATGCCTTTCATTGCTGTGATCCTGGCACCTAGAATTCTGCCTGACCCAGAGCAGATGCCCAATACACGTCTGTCAACCTGATTTGAATTATGATGGGACTGGCGTGGTAACAGCTATAATGTGAAGTACCAACCGGGGTGTGTCTGGTTCTCCAGGAAGGAAGTGCCCCTGTACACGGAGGAAGGGGCCGGATAACTGAAAACATTTGGAGCTATGGACGTGTGGGAAGTTCATGAGTATTTTAGATACAGAGCAAATAAAACTCAGTGCCCAACACCCTCAATGTTGCCTACAGTTTTCTACTGGTCCAGCATCAATCCCAGTTTGGGGAGCACTTCGCAGTCTGAGGAGAGATTCAAGCTTCCCAGAAAGAAGAGCTGACAGAGCAGGACTAGGGCTCTATGAACAGTGTCAGGGAGAAGCCAGTGCCTCCCGTTCAGGCAGACGGAGGATGCCAAGACGGGATGATCAGTCAGAATTCTCCTTCAACCTCAGCAAGGCCCATTTGCTGCGCTAACTGTACAAAAGGATCAGCAGCCTGTTCAGACCTTGGCACTGTGGTCTGGGCTGATTCTCTCAACAGGTAACTCCACAGCAGAGGCTCTTGGCTCCCACCAGCCCCAAGGGAAGGGACACTTGAGTTTCATTTTTCTACCTATTGCTTATCTTTAAAAAAATAAGAAATTTATTAGGATGTTGTAGGTTATTAAAATTATATAGGTTTCAAGTGTACAATTATATATAATACACAATCTGTATATTACATTGTGTGTTTACCACCCAAAGTCAAATCTCCTTCTCTCACCATGTAGGACCCCTTCTACCTTTTACTACCTCCCCGATCCTGCTTTCCCTCCGGTAACTACCATACTGTTGTCTGTGTTTTGTTTGTTTGTCTTGTTTTTGCATTTGTTGCTTTCAGTTTGATAGCCCACAAGTGAGTGAAATCGTATGGTTCTTGACTTTTCCTGTCTACTGATTTTGCAGCTTTAGCATGGTATTCTCAAAATCTATCCACCTTGTCACAAATGGCAGTATTGCATCTTTTCTTCCAGCTGGGTACTATTCCATTGTATGTATGTCCCACATCTTTGTTATCCAATCATTGATTGAAGGACACTTCAGTTGTTTCCTTGTCTTGACCACCGTGAATTATGCAGCTTAGTGGCCCATTTTGGTCCAGGGCCCACGATTCATGGCCTACACATGGCACAGCGGTGGCCACGAGAGCACTAATCTTCACAAGCTCATGAGCCGCAACTTGAATCACCCTGTTGATTTTCATTTATGTTGTCTTGTCACTTGAATGCCATATTTTAAATCTATATACCAGATGTTGTATTGGCAAAATTTTTGTGGAAATGATTTAGAGACTGTAGTGATGTTACCTTCCTTCAAAGTGGATTTATGTTTGCTTCTGCTAGATATTTGGGAGCACCAAAAATCTGGGACAGCCTCAATCCAATTTCAGGGCTTGGGAAAATTTGAAGCTAGCTACAAAACCTGTAAATGTGTGTTTCCTTCTGATTCACTCTTATTCTTATGGAGCTGCCCTGGGGGCGGGGTCCCCCCCTCCCCCAACAGAAGGAATTTTAATTAGGAACAACTTCATGGTGGGCCTTGCACTTCAAAACCTGCTCCCCACCTCCAGGAGGCTGTCAGCAGTGCTTCTTGGCCTCTCAGTGACCACCTCCAGAAGCTGCAAATGTCCCAGTTGAAAACAGCCTCAAATGCTGGTCTCACTTCTCTGAGTTCCTATTTACCCCAGAATTATGACCCTATGATTCCTTGTTGTTTTATTTACCTTGCCAATACTTTACACAGAGGTTTTATATAGTTTGTCCAGTGTTTATAATTGCCATCTGCAGGAGAATTAGTCCAAATTAACTTGTTTGTTCTTACTGAAAGCAGAGGTTAAATATTGATCTCTACTACGTTTTTCCTAGAATCCTGTAGAGATGACAAAACTGTCAGCGCTGTTCTACAGTTGCTCAGCTGGGTGGGGATTTTACCTGGCTGCCCAAGCACGTTTGGAGTCAGAGAGTGCCGAGGTTGACCTTCTGAGATACTGCAAGTGACAGAGGAGATACAACTTACTGAAAGCAGAGGTTAAATATTGATCTCTACTACATTTTTCCTAGAATCCTGTAGAGATGACCAAATTGTCAGCGCTACTCTCCAGTTGCTCAGCCGGGTGGGGATTTTACCTGGCTGCCCAGGCACGTTTGGAGTCAGAGAGTGCTGAGGTTGACCTTCTGAGTTACTGCAGGTGACAGAGTGAATGCACCATGGACAGGTCCAATCAGACCTCCCCAGTGGTGGGGTTCATTCTCCTGGGCCTCTCTGCCCACCCAAAACTGGAGAAAACATTCTTTGTGCTCATCCTGCTGATGTACCTGGTGATCCTGCTGGGCAATGGGGTCCTCATCCTGGTGACCATCTCTGACTCCCACCTGCACACACCCATGTACTTCTTCCTGGGGAACCTCTCCTTCCTGGACATCTGCTACACCACCTCCTCAGTTCCCCTCATTCTTGACAGCTTCCTGACCCCCAGGAAAACCATCCCCTTCTCAGCCTGTGCTGTGCAGATGTTTCTCTCCTTTGCCATGGGAGCCACAGAGTGTGTGCTCCTGGGCATGATGGCGTTTGATCGCTATGTGGCCATCTGCAACCCCCTTAGGTACCCCATGGTCATGAGCAAGGCTGCCTACGTGCCCATGGCTGCCGGCTCCTGGGCAGCTGGTATCACCAACTCAGTAGTTCAGACATCCCAGGCCATGAGGCTGCCCTTCTGTGGGGACAACGTCATCAACCACTTCACCTGTGAGATCCTGGCTGTCCTGAAGTTGGCCTGTGCTGACATCTCCATCAATGTGATCAGCATGGTTGTGGCCAATATGATCTTCCTTGCAATCCCAGTCCTGTTCATTTTTGTCTCCTATGTGTTCATCATTGCTACCATCCTGAGGATCCCCTCAGCTGAGGGGAGGAGAAAGGCCTTCTCTACCTGCTCTGCCCACCTCACAGTTGTGGTCGTCTTCTATGGGACCATCCTCTTCATGTATGGGAAACCCAAATCCAAGGACCCTCTGGGGGCAGACAAACAGGACCTTTCAGACAAGCTCATTTCTCTCTTCTATGGGGTGGTGACCCCCATGCTCAACCCCATCATCTACAGCCTGAGGAACAAGGATGTGAAAGCCGCTGTGAAGAACCTGGTGAGTCAGAAACACCTAACTAAGTGACTGTCACAGTTTCCCAGACTGTCAGAATGCAAGACCTCCAAACTCCTCATTGTACTTGTGGGAAAATGGTAACCCAGGGAGGTCCTTGGCTATCAGTGGAAAGAGCCTTTTCACTTCTGGCACTACTGATTAGTTTGTTGGCTTCACACAAAACTACGCTGTATCATATAATAGCTATATTTTGCTACCCAAATCTTAAATCCTCTGATACCAGAGCTCGATGAATAGCTATAAAGAGTTACAGATGTGGTCAAAAGAAACAAACAAAAATATGAATAGTACAGGGCCTTAGAGTATATTGTCTTTCCCTGTGTAGAACTGCTGCTTACTCGGTTCTGCTCTGTTCTGCTCTGGTCTCATTCCAAAGACCTTTGCTCTATATGATACAGGGATCAATTAAAAAATGTCATCTGCCTCAATGTATATTAGCGATCATTAGCACCATAACAGGCATGCCACTCATATAGTAGCATGACTTATCTTGAGCATCTGCTTGGTTTTGATCTAATGGAATCTTGTCATTCACCATATTCTCCTGCTCTGTTCTGCTCTGGTCTCATTCCAAAGACCTTTGCTCTATATGATACAGGGATCAATTAAAAAATGTCATCTGCCTCAATGTATATTAGCGATCATTAGCACCATGACAGGCATGCCACTCATATATTAGCATGACTTATCTTGAGCATCTGCTTGGTTTTGATCTAATGGAATCTAGTCATTCACCATATTCTCCTCTTTTTTAAAAATATTTTTTATTGATTTCAGAGAGGAAGGGAGAGAGAGAGAGAGAGAAACATCAGTGATGAGAGAGAATCATTGATCAGCTGCCTCCTGCACGCCCCATACTGGGGATGGAGCAACCCAGGCATATGCCCTTATTGGAAATCAAACCATGGCCTCCTGGTTCATAGATCGATGCTCAATCTCTGAGCCACACCAGCTGGGCCATATTCTCCTCTGTATTGTCAGTGCAGAGAAGCTCAGAGGCAGACATGCCACCTCACTGCAGCAGTTACTAGAGAGCTACATGACTGGGTGCCAGCAGCTCCCCAACTTTCATCCATGCAGCTGATGTGCCACCTGGATGGCAGTTACATACACCCAGCACACACTCCATGAACGCCACACTGTGATGAAACCCCAAAAAGATTGTGGGGAAGCAAATGCAAAAATCATCCTTAATTCCACAACTAATATGAGGCCAGCAGTAACAGTTACTCCTTACCAGAAGTGGCACAGGTGAGATTGGCCTTGGGAGCAGCGTAGCTCCCGGAGCTCTAAGTCCACGACTTTCTCCTACGCCCAAGGAACATATTGAAATAGTATGTGTTTACTGTATTACAGAGATTATTTTAATCCTCTTAAATTTATATTGGTAAAAGTCTGTTAATTACCAAATCTCGGTCCTTTAACTATTATCAGTTTATAGCAGGTTGTTTTCTCTTTTTTTTTCTCCCTCTTCCTTCCTCATCCCCATGTTAAATCAGCTCCCGCCGCAAGGGCTTAATAGGGGGCAAAAAGAGGGACATCTGTAATACTCTCAACAATAAAGATAATTTTTTTTAAAAAATCAGCTCCCTCCCCTTACTGGTTGATAGGTGCCTCCAAAGTTATATTCATTTTCTATTGCTGTCTATATATTTAAAACCTATTTGAATTGGGGGGGGGGGGAAGACATTTGGAACCCATAATACCTACTAATGTAATTGTATTATCTAAAATATCAGAAAAAAAATCTTTGTATTGAAAATGGCATCTCTTTTAAGAATGGTGTACAGGATAGGGAAAAATTAGGTTTACAGTGTGAGTGTGTAAAACACAGAGTATATTCTTGTATTACTTATTACTGGATTATTTTCTGTATGAACAACTGTAAACCTACTTTTGCCCCCTACTGTATATATGTGTGTGCACATATGTGTGTCTTTGTCTTTGTGTTTTATAATTGAAATGGGAAAGGATTAATAACAATGCATTGATTTATGGCAGCCCAATTTAAGCTTTCTCCCACAATTTACTAACATAACTCAGTTATTTCCTGTACACAGACCTTTGCTTCAATCAGTCATTTCCCACATTTTGACTTCCTGTTGTGAAAAGAATACATGAATAAACCAAAATCTCTCACAACCATGTCTGATAAACTAATATCCAGAAATGCTTTCAAGTATTTCCTCTCTATAAAAGGAGCCCATTTGCACCACACTGCATATTAGCCTCTATTTTAACTGAGCAAAAAAAGATTTAAAATTGCCTCCCTTGCTTTTATTTACCCCAGTACATTTGTGTAATCCTTGGCGAGGTAATTTGAGGAGGTTTTAATCTAGCTCCGATTAGTCAAAGATTACAATAAGACCGTTATCAGCAGCATGTCAGTTTTAGCTGTTGGAGTAAGCTGTCTCTGATGGGCTGCTTCTGCTGCATCCCATAGGTTTTGGTGCATTGTGGCGTGTGTTTTTATTTGTCTGGATGTATTTATTTTCTAATTTCCTTTGTGATTTTTTTTCTTTGACCCAATGGGTGTTCATGAGTGTGTTAATTTCCACATACTTGTGAATTTTCCAGCTTTCCTTCTGCTATTGATTTTTAGTTTCATTCCATTGTGATCAGAAAAGATAGTTGGTATGAATTCATTCATACTTAAATCTGTTAAGACTTGTTTTATAACCCAACATGTGATCCATCCTGGAGAAAGTTCCATGTGGGCCTGAGTTGACCACAATCCCAGCCTCCTCGATACCCAGAGGTGGGTGGGGCCTCTGCTGTGAAAAGAAAAGTGGTTGTAGCCCAGGAAGGGGTGAGCAACAGGACACAGGGAGGGGCTGGGGCTCCTGGGTGGGGTCTCCGCTTGTCACTTACACTCTGTGCAGTCTCTGCATTTATCTTTGTTTTGTGGTCTCCACCACATCTAATTCGCTGTTAATAATGTGGTTAAAGCAAGTCTTATTAATGGTTAATAAGAGGGTTGGGGCCCTGGCCGGTTTGGCTGCATGGTTAGAGCCACAGCCTAAGGACTGAAAGGTCTTGGGTTCGATTCTCAGTTAACGAACGGCATGTACCTCCGTTGCATGTCTCTCACGGCAATGTTTTTTTTTATTTTTCTCTCTCCCCCGCTCCTCCCTCCTTTCCACTCTCTCTCTCTCTCTAAAAAAAAAAAAAAAAAAAATCAATTGAAAAAATATCCTTGGGTGAGGATTTTAAAAAACAAAGAAAAAATAATAACAACAGGGTTGGAAATGAAGATTTTTATAACCCTTTGCTTCCTCCCCAATTCTTTAATCCTCGCCGTTGAGAAACATCAATGGGATGCCTCCTGCATGCGCCCCCACAGGAGATCAAACCCACAACCTAGGTATGTGCCCTGACCCAGAACCCACCCCTCAACGTTTTGGTGAATGAGATTACGCTCCAACCCACTTGGCCACCCGGCCAGGGCCCCCAAATATTTTTAAAATTTCCTTATAGTCTGGGCACACGTTGTTCAGGCTCAATTAGCCTCAGTTCTATGAAGACTTCTGTTCTTGGAGGGGCTGGGTCGAGGCTCTAGCTGGGGCGCTCCCGCCCGGTGTCGGCCGTTGGGGGTTGTTGGGCGGC